GCGCCTAAGCACCGTGTTCACTGTGTACTAGCACTTACTTTCCAAAACTCATTTGAGGTTGACTGATCTGTTCACTCCTCTAGCAAAGACACACTAAGTGTTTGCTGAATGGAGCTGGGCAGTCTGTGCAGACCGCGAGGGTGAAGGCTGACCGGCCACCTGCCTGCAGGGGGGACATATTAGGGCATGCAGAAACACCCTCAGCATGTGTAAATTTCTGCTTCTGAGTGGGTCTTCAGTTCAGTTCACTTCAGTTGCTCAGTCGTATCCAACTCTCTGCGACCCCATGGGCTGCAGCACACCAGGCTTCCCTGTCCATCACCAATTTCCACAGCTTACTCAAACTCATGTCCATTAAGTTGGTGATGCCATTCAACCATCTCATCCTCTGTCGTCCCCTTCTCCTCCCACCTTTGATCTTTCCTAGCATCAGGGTCCTTTCCAATGAGTCAGTTCTTCACATCAGGTGGCCAACGTATTGGAGTTTCAGCTTCAGCATCGGTCCTTCCAGTGAATATTCAGAACTGATATCCTTTAGGATGGACTGGTTGGATCTCCTTGCAGTTCAAGGGACTCTCAAGAGTCTTCTTCATCACCACAGTTCAAAAGCATCAATCCTTTGCTCAGCTTTCTTTATAGTCCATCTCTTACATCCATACATGACTACTGGAAAAACCATAGCTTTGACTAGAGGGACCTTTGTTAGCAAAGTAATGTCTCTGCTTTTTAATATTCTGTCTAGGTTGGTTATAACTTTCCTTCCAAGGAGCAAGCGTCTTCTAATTTCATGGCTGCAATCACCACCTGCATTGATTTTGAAGCTCCCCAAAATAAAGTCTCTCACTGTTTCCACTGTTTCCCCAACTATTTGCCATGAAGTGATGAGACCAGATGCCATGATTTTAGTTTTCTGAATGTTGAGCTTTAAGCCAACTTTTTCACTCTCCTCTTTCACTTTCATCAAGAGGCTCTTTAGTTTTTCTTCCTTTTCTGCCATAAGGGTGGTGTCATCTGCATATCTGCGGTTATTGATATTTCTCCAGGCAATCTTGATTCCAGCTTGTGCTTCATCCAGCCCAGCGTTTCCATGATGTACTCTGCATATAAGTTAAACAAGCAGGGTGACAATATACAGCTTTGCCCTACTCCTTTCCCAATTTGGAACCAGTCTGTTGTACCATGTTCAGTTCTCACTGTTGCTTCTTGACCTGCATACAGATTTCTCAGGAGGCAGGTCAAGTGTTCTGGTATTCCCATCACTTGAAGAATTTTCCACAGTTTGTTGTGGAAAAAGCAGAAGTAGATGTTTTTCTGGAACTCTCTTGCTTTTTTGATGATCCCATGGATGTTGTCAATTTGACCTCTGGTTTCTCTGCCTTTTCTAAATCCAGCTTGAACATCTGGAAGTTCATGGTTCATATACTGTTGAAGCCTGGCTTGGAGAATTTTGAGCATTCCTTTGCTAGTGTGTGAGATGAGTGCAATTGTGCAGTAGTTTGAGCATATTTTGGCATTGCCTTTCTTTGGGATTGGAATGAAAACTGACTTTTTCCAGTCCTGTGGCCACTGCTGAGTTTTCCAAATTTGCTGGCATATTGAGTGCAGCACTGTCACAGCATCACCTTTTAGATCTTGGGGATGGTCTTGATCACTGCTCCTGTACAATGTCATGAACTTCTGTCCATAGTTCTTAAGGCACTCTGTTTATCAGATCTAATCCCATGAATCTATTTCTCACTTCCACTATATAGTCATAAGGGATTTGATTTAGGTCATACCTGAATGGTCTGATGGTTTCCCTACTTTCTTCAATTTAAGTCTGAATTTAGCAATAAGGAGTTCATGATCTTAGCCATAGTCAGCTCCCAGTCTTGTTTTTGCTGACTATATAAAGCTTATCCATATTTGGCTGCAAAGAATATAATCAATCTGATTTCAGTGTTGACCATCTGGTGGTGTCCATGTGTAGAGTCTTCTCTTGTGTTGTTGGAATAGGGTGTTTGCCATGATCAGTGCATTCTCTTGACCTGCTTTGTTTTGTACTCCAAGGCCAAATTTGCCTGTTACTCCAGGTTATCTCTTGACATCCTAGTTTTGCATTCCAGTCCCCTATAATGAAAAGGACATCTTTTTTGTGTGTTATTTCTAGAAGGTCTTGTAGGTCTTCATAGAACTGTTCAACTTCAACTTCTTCAGCATTACTGGTTGGGGCATAAACTTGGATTACTGTGATACTGAATGGTTTGCCTGGGAAATGAACAGAGATCATTCCGTCATTTTTGAGATTGCATCCAAGTACTGCATTTCGGACTCTTTTGTTGACTATGATGGCTACTCCGTTTCTTCTAAGGGATTCTTGCCTATAGTAGTAGAGTGGGTCTCCAAGATCTAATATTTCAGGGTCATCATTACCTTTACTTTTACTCTTTTTCCCTCAATTTGTCCTGGACATTATTAAAATGAGGAAATGGATCATAAATACTAATAAAAAGAGTACACATAGGAGAGTTATTCATTGCTTCCTTTTGTTGCTGTTAATGAAATAAAGTTGGACAGCTATTGCAACAATCAGGGAAAATTACTCCCTAATGAAAAATACTTCATCTGGCTATCCATGGGAAATTATGAAATATGGAAACTACTATCAGTTAACCTCAGAGGATGAGTTTTTTAAAAAAATATTGGAGCTGATAGAAACTTCATCTTCATTCTCTAGATAAATGATGAAGGTTAGTGAATGGTTTCTTAGAAATGACTTATCTTATCTTTTCAAATCTGTGAGTTTTCATTCATATTTAAGAGAGATTTGGAAAAAGAAGAACTCTGAGGGGTAGAAACACTACTATTTTCCTCCCAGGCATGATCTCATTCTTAACTTTGTCGATAGATCCCAGATATGCAGTTTGCCATTATAAAGGACCTTTTTACAATGGACAGGGATTAAAAAAATCATCAGTCAGGGTGCTCCAGTTAACTTGACTCAGCAGAGTTCAAAACTCAGCCAGTTTCTGCCCAGACGGACAGCCCAGGAGACTGAACGCCATCGCATATTAAACACAACATCCAGATAGGCCATCCACCAGGAATTACTTGTGGAATGCATAATTCTTTGTTTTCCCATGTTTGCAGATCATCGATCAAAAATCTATGAATGACAAGACTCAACTTCAGAGAACAGTAGACTGTAGGGGAAAGGACTTCTCTTTGAAAAGTCACTTAAAGAGACATTTTTTGTTCTTTTCTAACAGGAAGATCTTGGTGCATTATTTAGAACAAAACGATACATCAATTGTGCACAACTGCTAACATCTTTGAAAGGTCAGTCAATAAAGCAAATGGGTGTGCAGCTTCCAAGGTTCTCAGGACAGAGAAGGGCCCCAGAACACCCAAGATGCTGCGTCCACCCCCTTAGAACACGGCTGCCTCATAAGCAGTCCTGAAGATGAGTCTATTTAAGATGTTCCTGAAAGGAGCTTATACTCAGCATGCCGCTGCTGCTAAGTCTCTTCAGTCAAGTCCGACTCTGTGTGACCCCCTGGACTGTAGCATATCAGGCTCCTCTGTCCCTGGGATTCTCCAGGCCCGAACACTGGAGTGGGTTGCCATGCCCTCCTCCAGGAGATCTTCCCGACCCAGGGATCGAACCTGCATCTCTTAGGTCTTTAGCATTGACAGGTGGGTTCTTTACCACTAGCACCACCTGGGAAGTCCATACTCAGCATCGGAAAAATAATAATCACACTGACATGGTCGAAAGAATGTTCAAAATTCTGGCTTGGAAAACAACTGCTCCCTTGGAGCCTGGTTACTTAAGACACTTCTGTACTCTGTTTCTTGACTAGCAGTGGTAACCTTCATCTTAAGAAAAAGAAGGCCCAGTAAATAGGAGCATTAACATATTCTGCTATCAATGCTTTATTTTTAAGTCATTAGTAGAATGTTGATTCTTTTTAGTTAAGGCAAATAAACCTTAATGATTTTTTTTTTTTAAAGGAGATTGTTTCAGGGCTTCCCTGGTGGCTCAGTGGCAAGGAATTCGCCTGCCAATGCAGGAAGCAACGATTCGATCCCTGATCCAGGAAGATCCAATGTGGTACAGAGCAACAAAGCCACAACTATTGAGCCCAAGTTCTAGAGCCCGGGAACCACAACTACTGAGCCCACGTGCCATGACTACTGAAGCCTGTATGCCTACAGTCCGTGCCTACAACAAGAAAAGCCATCACAGCTGAAAGCCCACACTCTGTGACTAGAGAGTAGCCCCTGCTCTCCGCACCTAGAGAAGAGCCCATGCAGGAACAAAGACTCAGCACACACAAAATCAATAAATAAAATTATTATGTGTTTTCAATTATTCTATTGAAGTATAGTTGATTTACAAGGTTATGCTAATTTCTGCTGTGCCACAGACTGATTCAGTTATACATATGTATACATTCTCTTTCATGTTCCCTTTCATTATGGTTTATCACAGGATATTGAATATAGTTCCCTGTGCTACACAGTGAGACCTTATTGTTTAATGATTCTATTCTTTTAGTAAAATATGGTGAACATTTAAGTATACAGAACTATGACATTTATTGAGTTACAGTTACCAGAATCGACTTCTTCTGTCTCTGTGAGACACATGAATCGAATGTATTGAGGAGGGAATTGTGCAACACTTGGCTAAAGGAGGAAATCATCACCAGTCTTCAACTGAAAGAATTCAGCTGATAAGAATGCATTTAAAAAAACACAGATGTGGGACTTCCCTGGTGATCCAGTGGTTGAGAATCCATCTTGCAATTCAGGGGACCCATGTTTGATCCCTGGTCAGGAAACTAAGATCCCACATGCTGCAAAGCAACTAAACCTGTGTGCCACAACTAGAGTTTTCACACTGCCACAAGAGATCCCACGTGCCACAACCAAGACCTGAGGCAGCCAAGCAAATAAGCAAATAAATGTAAATAGAAAACACAGGCGTATAACCGTCCCACGCACCCCACAGTTACCTTGGACAACTCCATGCCTGGCCCACACTGCTTGCACAGAACACAGCTTCCTGACTGGTCCCTGAATTCCTGCTGTCCACAGTCTCCTGTCTCACAAATCACTCCACATGCCTAAAAAAAAAAAAAACACATTTCACAAAACGTTATCTTAAGGTGAGGTAATTCTGTTTTTCACAAGAAGGGAACAGTATCTTCAGTATTATTGACATAACCACTGAAGGTAAACATTAATTCAGAGTGAGGCCAATTCAGTTTCCACTTTAGGAAGGAAAACCACTTTCTGGAAAAGTCAGAGAAACAATTCAAGCCCGAGTCCTTTCTCTGCTTCTGAACGAGAACTCCCCTTTTCTGGAATCAATCGCCATCTTCTTCCTACACATTTGTGAACCCAAGGTAAAAACTGCTAGAAGCTGTTCTCTTTTCTAAGTGAGAAGATGACTTAAAGAGCAGTTATGCAGAGACCCAGGGTACTTCTTCAACTGGAAAAATTCTGAATTTAAAAATCGTTATTTTTAAATTTTTAATATAAACATATTCAGCTATAATGAATTGAATAATAAATAAATAAATGGAATACGTAGACTGGACTCAAGAACTCTGCCATTATCTTTTAGACATATCCAAAATCCAACTTTGATGCAGTAGTTTCCACCTTTAAGTTGAATTACATTTACTTAGAGTCCATCATTCAAAAAATTCTGACAATATTAAGGTCAGTAAAATTCCTGATAATTATGATGATGACAAAAATGGCCAAATCCTCTGCTCTTCAAAGTAAAAGTGTTATTTTCCTATTGATTGCCATTTTGCCACTTAAATAGAACCTAACAATATCCTTTTTCTAAAAATTGAAGTATTGTTGATTTTCAATGTTGTGCTAATTTCCGCTGTATAGCAAAGTGACTTAATCATACATACATAATTACACATATATATGTATGCATAAATGTTAAAGTCATTTCAGGTGTGTCTGACTCTTTGCAACCCCATTAACTGTTAGCCCGCCAAGCTCCTCTGTTCATGGGATTCTCCAGGCAAGAATACTGACGTGGGTTGCCATGCCCTCCTCCAGAGGATCTTCCTAACCTAAGGGATCGAACTCATATCTCTTACGTCACGATATATGTATATACTTTATTTTTTAATATTCTTTTCCTTTATGGTATGTCACAGGATATGAACATAGTTCTCTGTGCTATACAGTAGGACTTTTTGTTTACCCATCCTATATGTAACAGTTTGCATCTGCTAACCCTAACCTCCCATTCCATCCAAGTCTGTTCTCTATGTCCTTACAATATACTTTGGTTCACATGATAGGTCTTAAATGGAAGGACTATCTACTTTGCAAAAACAAAGGTTGTAAGTTATTTTCAAGATACAGACTTTATTTCTTCTTTTACCTAAAAACAGTTAAGTTTATATGCACTCATCTTACAAAAGTACGTATATCTGCTTCTTAATAGCCGGTGTTTCATTAAAAAGTGTTGGAATTAATAGAATCTCAGACTGGTGACAACATTCAGTTCAAACTCTCATGCCAAGCAAAGGCCCCCTCCGTAATATTCCTGATGCTAATTCTGTTGCCCTAAATGAAAACTAAGAGCGTCAGGAGGCACGGGCGGAATAGAGACTGGAGTGAGTGTGTAATGCTCTTTACACGGAGGTGCATAGAATGGGCTTTAGTGATGACAGCATGGGCAGTTATTCAGTACACACAGCCTCCACTCGAAGCAAATATCTACAGTGATGTCATCCAACCTCCTTAAATAAAATCCCAGCCTTATCCTCTAGAGTAAGCAGGAGGGAGAATTCAAGGTGGGGTTCAAGATCCTAATGGGGGGCTAAAGGTCTAGTAATCACCTCCAGCCTCTCTTAACCACACTTGACAACCAACCTTAGAGGAAAGTGTTAGTCGCTCAGTTGTGTCCTAATCTTTGTGACTCCATGGGCAGCCCACCAGGCTCCTCTGTCCATGGGATTCTCCAGGCAAGAATACGGGAGTGGGTTGTCATTCCCTCTTCCAGGGAGATCTTCCTGACACAGGGATTGAACCTGGGTCTCCCGCAATACAGGATGATTCTTAACCTTCTGAGCCACCAGGGATTGGTTTCATTTGAGGGAGAGAGAATATTCCTTCCACCACAAAGACACTGCATTTGCTTTGAGAAAGAAATGCCACAGCCTCTCTCGTGGACCATTTCTTCCAACATTTAACAACCTCAACTTAAGGAAGGGTTGTTTTCCTCACATCTACCTGCATCCCAGACTCCAATCTGACCCCACTTCCCCTCACTCTGTCTTCCAAGAAGACCTCAGGAACTGTCTTTGGTGTCATTAATCCTTTTTATATTTGTAGATCATGACTGCATCTCCAGACCGAATGCTTCAGTAATTCTTTTGAACACATTCAAAGACCTTTTGTGTGAAAGCTTTCAAAGGTTACAATTCTCTATCTGTCTTTGATGCTTTTTGAAGTCAAAATGGATATAAATAATCACATAAAACAATAGCATTTAAGAATCAACTCCAAATTCTACATGGACTGTGAAGTCATGGGCTCCAAGCTAGAATCTAAACCTTGTTAGCATCTAGGCTGTGCTGTGAGAGGCATCTGCCTGTAAGCCCATGAAGCATCATTATCTTGGGGCTACAAGTAATGCCATGACTTGATGATCTCATCAAGATTGAAATAAATAAGTGCAATTATTGCCACAAAAGTCAAGACCCAACAATAGCCTCTGACTTATTAATTAAATGCAACAATGATAAAAGGAATTTGAAAGAAAATTTTGAAGATATGGGGTTAAAAATGGGAATTAGATTGGGTCCTAGTTCTATGAATTTTTCCCCTACATTCTTATGAAAGTAAAGAGTTGACTTACCAAACAGGCTAGTAAAACTACAACTGTGAAAGATTTCTGTTGCCTGAGTAGCACCTTTGAAGCCATTGCTCTTAGTAAATGTATTTCTGGTTGAAGAGCTCTAAAAGGGAAGAAGATACAGTTAAAGTTAATATCAGTAGTGACTGTGCTTTGTATTTACTACACAGTGCTACCATTTACTATATACACTAGTAAAACAATGCTATTTAGTATGTTAGTAAAACAAAATATCATTTATGTTTTAAAAAGGACTTATCTTTTTCAAAGATACCAGAGATAAATATTAAACAATTCTTTAATAATTTAGGTTATGAGAACTGAAGCTTTGTCAACCTACACAGTACACAAAAAATACCTACTGGCTCTGAATTCCTAGGCTACAGATGCCTTTATTTCCTTTCTGTCCAAATCTCTACAGTGTCAACTTCACCCAGCAGAAAATTACATTCAAACTCACAGAAACTTCCCATTTATATGGGTTTAGTCATATAGGATGATACCAATGATAAAATAACAACACATGCTAAGCACACAATGCCAGGTACTATTCTTAGCAGAACTCATTTCATTTTCACAACTACCCTAGAAGGTAGATGCAGTCATTATCTCCATTTTAGAGATGGGGGAACAGAGGCTCATTAAGGGCTGAGTCACTTGCCTTGGGTCACACTGGTGGTAAGAGGCAGAGCTGGATGCCAACCCCGGTGGCTGGCTCCAATGTCCCCATGACAGACACCATGAAATCAACCTGCTCCATTTAATAAAAACTGCATATATGTACCATAGCTTTCCTATCCATTCATCTGCTGATGGGCATCTAGGTTGCTTCCATGTCCTGGCTATGATAAACAGTGCTGCGATGAACATTGGGGTGCACGTGTTTCTTTCAGATCTGGTTTCCTCGGTGTGTATGCCCAGGAGTGGGATTGCTGGGTCATATGGCAGTTCTACTTCCAGTTTTTTAAGGAATNCTTAAAAAATAGTCACAACCAAAAGCTGAGGTATGTTTTATTCAGCAGAAAATTGTAGGGAGGGGGGATCAGGATGAGGAACACATGTAAATCCATGGCTGATTCATGTCAATGTATGGCAAAAACCACTACAATACTGTAAAGTAATTAGCCTCCAACTAATAAAAATAAATGAAAAAAACAAAAACAAAAACTGCGTGCTTGTGTCTCAGGTCTTGAGCTTCACTAAGAAGCAGGAACAACTAACATCTGGCATTTGTGAACTCTTCCCCAAACCAGTACAGTGCAAATTATCTACTAGCAGAAAAATGAGCACTTATTAAAAAAAAAAAACAACAACACCTAAAAATCATTTACAAGTGATGAATTGGAGGTACTACCCTGACACTTCAAGAAGAACAAACAAACTAAGCCTCTTTCTCTTTCCCAGGAATGATGTAAAATGTAGAGACAAGTGTGTTTTGTTTTGTTTTTACAGACTCATGCAATGTCAAGAGAAGAGATTTATTTGAACATTTTTAAAAAGTAAAGACTCATCTGTTCACTCCACCAATCAGGCAGAGGAACACTGGTTCAGTTTCTAGCAAGACCTCAGAGCAGATAGCCTAACTACCTGGAAAGAAACCAGAGCAAAAATCAAACAGCTCAAGAAAAACAGCAACAGTAACAACAAAGGAAGCAGGCTGAGCTGAGCAGGCTGCTGTCCCAACTGTGGACCAAACAGCCAGCCGGGGGGCACCCCACCCCCGCCAGGAGACTGTCCAGGTGGTCATCCCAGCTGCCAGCGCAGGTCCAAACATCAGGGCAACAAAAAGTCATTTTTAAACTTGGTTGAGTGAATAACCCATTTTGAGTGAATTCAAATAGCTCTTTTTTTTTTTCTTTTCCAGCTTCTTGATCACAGCTTTCCCCCGCCCCCCTTGCATATCTCAAAATCATCCAGCAATTACCCAACCATGCAACCTGCTGCTGTGTAGACACAGGATAGGGGTCAGAAGATAACATCACATTCCCTGAATGATATGCTTCACGCTGTCTCTTTCCCAGCAGGGCCCTAAATTTTTTTTAAGGTAAAAAGCACAAAACCTATGTGGAATTGAACTAACACAGAAAAGAGGTTATAAACACCAAAGTATATACATAGAACATGAAGAATAAAGAGATTGCTAGAGTCTGTGCATCGTTGTTGTCATTGTTCAGTGGTCAAGTGGTGTCTGGCTCTTTGCAACCCCATGGATGGAAGCACACCAAGCTTCCCTGTCCTTGACTATCCCCCGGAGTTTGCTCAAACTCATGTCCATTGAGTCAGTGATGCCATCCAACCATCTCATCCTCTGTCATCCCCTTCTTCTAGAGTCTGTGAATAATCAGTCTATAGTTGAGCATCTAGTTAGGGCAGATAACTTTACTGGGACAGGGTGCTAACTACTGTGGAAGGCAGACAAAACATGCAGCATCTTCTTGAAAAGATGACTGATGACACACACCTCAAGCTAGAAGTCAAGGCAATACGATTCTGACTTCACAAGACACACCCATGTCATGTACGAAAATAAATATGCCAAAATAATATCAATGGTTTAGGTTTATACTGTGGCAATCTGGGGGGATTATTTACCCTCTTTATCCTGAACATTCTTTGTAGTATAAATATTTCATTAATAATGAAACAAATACATGTATTGTGCTTTGGGGGACAAAAATGTAAGTAACATGGTCCTTCTTAAAAGTTTATAAATTAAAAAAGGTGATGAGATAAAAACCATACATACACTACCCAAAAAGGAGAACACTGAACAAAGTACTATGATTTTTGCATCACAAAAATTTTTTACATGATAGGGTGGACAAAAATTAATGAAACTAGACTCAATGTGCTGATTTGTATTGGGTTAGCCAAAAAGTTCGGGCTTCCCATGTGGCTCAGCGGGTAAAGAATTTGCTTGCAATGTGGGAGACCTGGGTTCAATCTCTGGATTGGAAAGATCCCCTGGTGAAGGGAAAGGCTACCCACTCCAGTATTCTGGCCTGGAGAATTCCATGGCCTATACAGTCCATGGGGTCACATAGAGTCGGACAGGACTGAGCAACTTTCACTTTCACTTTATTCTTTCGGCCAAAGAGTTCATTTAGGTTTTCCTGTAAGGTGTTATGGGAACTTTCTGGCCAGCCCAGAAAGTTATTATATTATATTATATTATCTTCCCAACATACATGCTAAACTGAGTAGTTTAAATGGGAATGCAAAAGGAGCACTGCTACACCTACACTTCCAGGGACACAGTGGGTTGAAGCCTGCAAATTATCTTCTAAACTCCTCGGCCAGACTCCTATGCCCTTTTCATCTGCCCTCTGGCCTAGAGGTCTCATCACTGGTCCCTGCCCTCACTGCCGGCCCAGCTCAGCCACACCCTGACACCTGCTCTTCTGCTGGACGCCCGTGATCTTGCTCCTCTGGGTCTGGAGAGCCTTTCTCCTTCTGAGTCCCTCCAAGAGCCAGCTCAGCAACCACTCTGCTGAATGCTGTCCACAGCAGCTCCCGGCGGCCCCACAGCCCTTTCCACGCTCACGGACACGGTCCCTCACAGCAGGGGCCACACCTGGGACTTCGTTCCTAGCGTCAGGCACATCAGGGTGCTCCGCGAACGTGTGCGGAATTAAATGGATGAAGCAGCACAAAACAATGAAAAACACTTCCTGGAAAACACCTGAGATTTGGTTGCGGATAACAGATCTAATTCTTCTGTGGAATTCTAATTAGAATTCTAATTCTTCTAATTCTTCATTTTCTGTTTCAGACAAATATACGTATATGAAATCTTACTACCTGCTCAAGGCATTCAGTACATTAGATTGCACGCTCAGTCACTTCATATGTGTCTGACTCTTTGAGACACCATGGACTGTGGCCCACCAGGCTCCTCTGTCCATGGCATTCTCCTGGCAAGAATACTGGAGCGGGTTGCCATGTCCTCCTCCAGGGGATTTTCCTGACCCAGGGACTGAACCCGAGTCCCCTGCGTCTCCTGCACTGCACGCAGATTCTTTACCCGCTGAGCCATCAGAGAAGCTCACATTAGATCAGGAGACAGGATTAAATGACATAGTGACATTTTTAAATATCTTAATTCACTTAAAAAATGCAAGCGGTCATTCACAAGATTTCTTAAACTGGGAACTGGGGGCTGAAATGTGCCAGTGAACTATGTCACTTCTCTTTTCTGTGGCTTCTCTTTTAACCTGGCTTTTTACACCAAGAGGCTGAGAAGTAGTTTAGGCTTGGGCGGACTATCTAGGGAGTGGCTATGGTGATATAAGGGCCAAGTTCAAACAGTCTTCTTCAGGTAAACCAAGATATACCCATTTGAATGCAGAGTTCCAAAGAATAGCAAGGAGAGATAAGAAAGCCTTCCTCAGAGATCAATGCCAACAAATAGAGGAAAACAATAGATTGGGAAAAACTAGAGATCTCTTCAAGAAAATTAGAGATATCAATGGAACATTTCATGCAAAGATGGGCACAATAAAGGATAGAAATGGCATGGACTTAACAGAAGCACAAGATATTAAGAAGAGGTGGCAAGAATACACAGAAGAACTGTACAAAAAGATTTTCATGACCCAGATAAATCACGATGGTGTGATCACTCACCTAGAGCCAGACATCCTGGAACATGAAGTAGGCTTAGGAAGCATCACTATGAACAAAGCTATTAAAGGTGATGGAATTCCAGCTGAGCTATTTCAAATCCTAAAAGATGATGCTGTGATAGTGCTACACTCAATATGCCAGCAAATTTGGAAAACTCAGCAGTGGCCACAGGACTGGAAAAGGTCTGTTTTCAGTCCAATCCCAAAGAAAGGCAATGCCAAAGAATGATCAAACTACCACACAATTGCACCCATCTCACATGCTAGCAAAGTAATGCTCAAAATCCTCCAAGCCAGGCTTCAGCAATACGTGAACTGTGAACTTCCAGATGTTCAAGCTGGATTTAGAAAAGGCAGAGGAACCAGAGATCAAACTGAAGCTATGACCAACCTAGACAGCATATTAAAAAGCAGAGACATTACTTTGCCAACAAAGGTCCATCTAGTCAAAGCTATGGCTTTTCCAGTAGTCACCTAT